ACAGGAGTTACACATCAATTGCCTCGAACTATTGGCGGGGTCATTTGCAGTTCGGAGTCTTGTAGGTATCTCAATCAACTGTTCCATTCTTTTACGGATGGACAACGTGTCAGCGGTCCGCTACATCAACCATCTTGGGGGTACGAAGTCCGTGGTGTTAGCGGAACTAGCAAAGGACTTCTGGCACTTCTGCCTGGATCGCAATATTTCGGTTCAGGCGGAATACATTCCCGGGTTGTCCAATTCCACTGGAGATCGACCTCTTCGCATCACGGTTGAACTCCCAACTACCGAGGTTCTTCAGTTGGAGACCGAATCCAGAGGCGTTGGTTTCAGATGCCTTCCTTCAACAGTGGCTGGACACGCGAATGTACGCTTTTCCTCCTTTCTCATTGATTGCGAGGACGCTTCTACATCTCAGGCGCTACCGAACCTCCATGATCCTCATCGCCCCATTCTGGACGGCTCAACCATGGTTCCCTACAATCATGGATGTCCATGGACTACCCAAGACTGATTCCACCTTCTCCGGACCTCTTGTTGGACCCCAACGGGGAACCGCACTCCCTACTATTACAGGGACACCTCCAGTTACTGGCATGGCTCCTCTTGGATTCATCCCAGACGTTCCACAAACAACTATTGACCTTCTGGCGGGAGCTTGGGCTCCGGGAACAAGGAAATCCTACTTACATGCCTGGAATTCATGGAGTGGTTGGTGCATGGAACAACACATGGATCCCTTATTGGCACCTGTAAGTCACGTTTTGAGATTTCTCACTTCTCTGTTTGACCATGGCCTAGCCTATCGCACGATAAATGTGTAACAATCGGCTATTTCCGCAGGACACCAAGGGTTGGATGGTGCCCCGGCAGGTAAACATCTCCTTGTGTGCCGACTCCTGCGCGGCATTAGATTTGCACGTCCACCGCAACCTAGGTACTCTTCATCATGGGATGTTGACCTTGTCCTCCAGCTTCTGGGAGACTGGCCAAGGAACGAAGATCTCTCACTGAAACAACTCACAGCAAAGTTGGCGATGTTGTTTTGTTTGATCTCCTGTAAACGGGTGTCTGATGTGCGTGCGTTGGACCTCTCTGCACGTTCATTCACCCCCGAAGGTGTCTCGTTTAATATTTCCAGGCGTACGAAGACGTCAATCACCTCATTTTTCTACCCGGCCTTTCCACAACTCTAAGCTATGCCCAGTGGCATGTCTCAAGGAATACGAGTCCAGGACTTCTTCAACTCGTGATCCTGCATATCCGGAGTTATTCCTGGCCCTTCGTCATCCATATCACCCTGTTTCAACAGTCACATTGTCTCGTTGGGTCAAATGGATTATGAATTCAGCGGGCATCGACACTTTGGTGTATGGAGCACACTCGGTCAGGGGAGCCATGGCGACTAAGGCTTTCTCCAAAGGATGCAGGTTGGAGGATTTACTCTGGGCGGCTGATTGGTCTCACGAATCTACCTTCAAGGAGTTTTATTTTCGGCCAGTTTCTCATTTTTCAGATGTGGTCGTGTCACAGCTTTGAACTAGCATAATATGAGCCTCCGTGTCCTTAAATAAAATTACCAGATTTGACTAATTTCATGACGTAAAGTCATGATTTTATTAAGGACACGGAGGCGAATATTATCCCACCCGATGCAGGTCACTGGTGCCCTCCCATGGATATGTGGTCATTAAGCTGCTACGGATTTAGGTTACTACAGCACACTGCATGTATTGAAAGGTTTTGGTTAGATGGTAATCTGTTACTGGTGGCATATATTACGATGATTAATTCTGTAATATGGTACTGTTCAAAGGTCCAGAAACATATTTTACCAGTTTGTTTCTCTGTTCCTTTCAGCTTCATGATCGGGTTTGGCACCGTTGTGCACGGATTCCTTCAGGACCTATGGGAAGATCCCAGCTTCTGAAGAGTACCTGTCAGGGTACCTGTTGGTGCTGAATCCAGGGAAGACATCCTCTCTGTTTAGGGGCTCCCTGCCCCTAGCATTTCGGCATATTCCGGCCGTTTTCGCGCCGGCCGCGCTAGCTCCTCCCCCTTTTATGACGCGACGGCTAGCGTCGACGTCATGACGTCGGCATTTACGTGAAGTGCCGGGAACCGCTATTCCGGACCTTTTGGGGGTGTGGTCTCAATTTAGGTAACAGGGTATTTAAAGGAAACCTTTACTACTACTCATTGCCCTGTCGTGGTTCTAGCTTGCTAGTCACTCAGCGCGTTCTTTCTCTTAGTGTTTCCGGTTTTGACCTTGCTTGTCTTTTGTCCTGTTGTCCTCTCCTCTCCTTTGACTCGGCTTGTATCTCGCTTACCTGTCCTCCGGCTCCCTCGACCTCGGCTTACCTTTTGACTATTCTTGTTTTGTCCATACGTTAGTCCGGCCATTCTAAGGTCCGGTATACGTACCTCCTTCTGTCCGCACTCTGCGTATTGGATCCCTGTCAGTATCCTGACATTACGACAGGGCCAAATGGATCCTGCAGGTGCTAGTCCTCCTGACCCCAGATTTGAGGCCATGGACCATAGAATGGACCAAATGGCTTTAGCATTACAAACTTTGTTAACACGTTCCAGCACCCAGTCTGAAGAAATACGTTCCACTGCTAGCCACCCACTAAGTACTGGTTTGGAAGTAGCCACTGTAGGCGCATCTTCCCATGTCACTTCACCGTTACGTTATGGGGGTTCGCCTGATGCTTGTCGTGGTTTTTTAAACCAGATAAGCATACATTTCGAACTTCAACCCCGGGCTTACCCTACTGACAGGGCTAAGGTAGGCTTCATTATAACTCTGCTAATAGATAAAGCACTTAGATGGGCCAATCCCCTTTGGGAGAATGACAATCCTCTAGTCTACAACTACACTGCTTTTGTCACGGCTTTTAGAAGAACTTTTGACCCACCAGGAAGGAAGATTAATGCGGCCAGATCCCTGTTACGCCTTAAACAACAGAATAGGACCCTTGTAGAATATGCACTAGAGTTTAGATCATTGGCAGCAGAAGTGAAATGGAACGAACAAGCTTTTATGGATGTATTCTTGAATGGGTTGTCTGATGAAATTTTAGATGAGATTGCCACAAGAGAACTTCCGGAAAATTTAGAGGATTTAGTATCTTTCATTTCCAGAATAGATGAACGCATGAGACAGAGGCAGAACACTCGGGAAAGAGTTACTAGACTTTCTGTAAGACTCGCTCCCTCATTTCAGAACCCTGACTCCTATAATCCTACTCCACCAGAACCTATGCAAATAGGTAATACTCGCTTATCTGAGGCTGAGAGACAGTACAGAAGAAGGGAGGGTCTCTGTTTATACTGCGGGCGGAGAGGTCACCTACGTCTTAGTTGCCCTAATCGCCCGGGAAATGCTCGCACCTAAGTTCCCTTAGAGGACGGGCCTTGGGTGTTTCGTTACTGTCCTCTATGCATAATAAAAAAGACCATAGGCTTCTGATTCCTGTTTCTCTAGCTTGGGAAAATGGGTTTATTTCTACGATGGCATTATTAGATTCTGGAGCAGCAGAAAGCTTTATAGACCAAACTTTCGCTAATAAGCATTGTATCCCATTCCAACTGAGAGATACACCCTTGGCCGTTGAGGCCATAGATGGTAGACCTTTATCTGAACCAGTAATATTCCATGAGACCAAACCCGTTAAGCTTACTGTTGGTATTTTCCACGAGGAGTTGATTTCCCTTCTGTCAATTTCCTCCCCGGCCGTCCCAGTGGTGCTAGGATATTCCTGGCTCAAGAGACACAACCCTCAGATTGACTGGGAGGGTGGAGAAATCGTTTCTTGGGGTATTGGTTGTAGGAAAGAATGTCTGCAGAGAGTTACTTCTGTTTGCCCCGTAAACTCTTATACTAACTCTCCCCAATCCACAGACGTTCAGATACCATTACAATATCTAGACATCAAATCTGTATTTGACAAGGGTAAGGCGGATACTTTACCTCCCCACCGGTCTTATGACTGTTCTATTAAACTTTTCCCTGGTACTATGCCTCCTAGGGGTACGGTATACCCTTTATCCACCAAGGAAAATTTAGTTCTAGAGGAATACATCAAGGAGAATTTAGACAAAGGATTTATTAGAAAGTCTTCTTCTCCGGCGGGGCGGGTTTCTTTTTTGTAGAAAAGAAAGACGGTACCTTACGTCCTTGTATAGACTATCGGGGATTGAACAAAATTACTATCAGGAATGCTTACCCTATTCCTTTGATTACTGAACTCTTTGACAGACTAAAGGGCTCGAGTATTTTTACCAAACTTGACTTGAGATGAGCATATAACTTGGTGCGAATTAAACAAGGAGATGAATGGATGACGGCATTTAATACCCGTTACGGGCATTATGAGTATACCGTAATGCCGTTTGGGCTTTGTAACGCCCCGGCCGTCTTCCAAGACTTGATCAATGAAGTTCTTAGAGAATTCCAACATGAATGTGTGATTGTATATTTGGATGATATACTAATACATTCTAGAGACATTAATTCACATCATAGACAAGTCAGAAAGGTATTACAGAAACTTTTACAACATGGATTGTATTGTAAATTGGAAAAATGTAGCTTTGACCAGTCTCAGGTAACTTTCTTAGGTTACATAATTTCCAAAGACGGGTTTATGATGGACCCGACCAAACTAAAATCGATTTTAGATTGGCCTTTACCTAAGGGACTCAAAGCCATACAAAGATTTCTTGGATTTTCTAATTATTAGAGACGTTTTATTAAAGGGTACTCCTCTGTTATCGCTCCTATCACTAATATGACCAAACAAGGAGCCGATACCAAAACCTGGTCTGCTGAGGCTTTATCTGCTTTCGAAACGCTCAAACAGTCTTTTGCCTCAGCACCTATATTAGTTCATCCTGATACCTCTCTACCCTTTTTACTTGAAGTTGATGCGTCTGAAACAGGGATAGGCGCAGTGTTGTCCCAAAGACAAAGTTTAGATAAGCCGATGCACCCTTGCGGTTTTTTTTCCAAGAAACTATCACACACTGAAAGGAGATATGACATTGGTGATAGAGAACTTTTAGCTATCATTATGGCATTAAAGGAATGGAGACATCTGTTAGAGGGCACTGTCCTCCCAGTTACTATCTTGACTGATCACAAAAATTTATCTTATATGGGGGAGGCCAAAAGATTATCTGCCAGGCAGGCACGTTGGTCTATGTTCCTTACACACTTTAATTATGTGCTTACTTACAGGCCTGGTTCTAAGAACACTAAGGCAGACGCTTTGTCTCGTCAGCACGAACCTATCGCCTCTACAGAAGACACTTTGTTCCCTATTATTCCTGAAGTCAATATTATCGCCAACACCAATGTCAAAATACACTCTCCATTGCTCGTAGATATTATGAACGAACAATCTCTTGCTCCCGAGCGTACTCCTGTGGGCCGCTTGTTCGTGTCTCCAAAATTCCAAGTAGACATTATTCGCTGTTTTCACGATAGCAAGTTCGCTGGTCACCCCGGCATCCACAAAACTTACTGCCTGATCTCCAAAGACTTCTGGTGGCCTAGTTTACGTAGGGATGTGGAAGACTTTGTCAAGGCTTGCGATGTTTGTGTCAGGAATAAACTACCACGGGATCTCCCTTGTGGTTTATTGCAGCCCTTAGTCATTCCCAACAAACCTTGGGCTTGTTTGGCTATGGATTTTATTGTTGATCTACCGGCTTCCAGTAGACACACGGTTATCCTCACGGTCCTTGACAGGTTTACTAAAATGGCTCATTTCATTCCCTTGCCTAAACTTCCGTCCTCTCCTGAACTGGCCGTGATATTTGCTAGAGAAATTTTCCGTTTGCATGGTATTCCCAATGAGATTGTGTTGGACAGGGGTTCCCAGTTTATTTCCCGTTTTTGGAGATCCTTCTGTTCCCAGTTGGGCATCAAACTGAATTTTTCTTCGGCCTATCATCCTCAATCTAACGGAGCAGCCGAACGCACTAACCAAAAAATTGAGCAATATCTACGTTGTTTTGTTTCTGAACACCAGGATGACTGGGTCGGTCTGATTCCTTGGGCGGAGTTTGCTCACAACAACCTTGTTTGTGGTTCCACTCGTAATAGCCCCTTTTTCTTGAACTATGGCTTTAACCCTACTGTTCTTCCGTCGGTGTCTCCTTCCCAGGGTATACCGTCGGTTGATATTCATATAGCCAACCTGAGAAAGTTGTGGGATCAGACTCGACAAATTCTTACACGTAGTTCCGCGGTGTTTAAGTCGCATGCTGATAGGCGTAGACGGCCTGCTCCTATTTTTTCTCCGGGTGATAGGGTCTGGTTGTGTACCAGACACATTCGCCTGAAAGTCCCTTCCTTGAAGTTTGCTCCTCGTTACATAGGCCCTTACAGGGTGCTGAGGAGGATCAACCCGGTTTCTTATTTGCTGGACCTGCCCCCTACTCTACGCATCCCTAACTCTTTTCATGTGTCTTTATTGAAACCTCTTGTTTGTAACAGATTTTCCTCCCGCTCTGCTCCTCCATCCTCGGTCCGTGTGGATGATCAGGAAGAATATATCATTAGGTCCATCCTTGATTCTCGTATTTCTAGGGGAAAGCTGCAATACCTCATAGACTGGAAAGGTTATGGTCCAGAAGAGAGGTCTTGGGTTCCTTGTATAGACGTGCATGCTCCTCGTCTTCTTCGGGCCTTCCACGTTCGTTTTCCTTCTAAGCTCGGTCCCATCCGCCCGGTGGGCGTTTCTAGAAGGGGGGGTACTGTCAGGGTACCTGTTGGTGCTGAATCCAGGGAAGACATCCTCTCTGTTTAGGGGCTCCCTGCCCCTAGCATTTCGGCATATTCCGGCCGTTTTCGCGCCGGCCGCGCTAGCTCCTCCCCCTTTTATGACGCGACGGCTAGCGTCGACGTCATGACGTCGGCATTTACGTGAAGTGCCGGGAACCGCTATTCCGGACCTTTTGGGGGCGTGGTCTCAATTTAGGTAACAGGGTATTTAAAGGAAACCTTTACTACTACTCATTGCCCTGTCGTGGTTCTAGCTTGCTAGTCACTCAGCGCGTTCTTTCTCTTAGTGTTTCCGGTTTTGACCTTGCTTGTCTTTTGTCCTGTTGTCCTCTCCTCTCCTTTGACTCGGCTTGTATCTCGCTTACCTGTACTCCGGCTCCCTCGACCTCGGCTTACCTTTTGACTATTCTTGTTTTGTCCATACGTTAGTCCGGCCATTCTAAGGTCCGGTATACGTACCTCCTTCTGTCCGCACTCTGCGTATTGGATCCCTGTCAGTATCCTGACAGTACCTGATTTTACTGTGGCGGTCTTGGCATTTTGTTTTTTCCTTCAAGTTGACATGTTGCTGTGGATTCTTCGTCGACAACACCAAGAAAGAGGAGTGGCTTAAGGTCACATGGGGAGTTGATGGTGCTGAAGGCATTATGATTGGTTGTATTGTTATAGGATTAACCCTTTGGGGCATGTTTACATGTTTGATTTGTTTTTCTAAAATAATTTTTTTGCTGCTGAGGAATAAAAGAAAGAGAATAAGCATAATACTCGCCTCCATGTCCTTAATAAAATCATGACTTTACGTCATGAAATTAGTAAAATCTGGTAATTCTTTGTTAAACTAATTTGCATATGCCCACCCAGAATCCTTTGTGGTAGTAACATCACTGCAGATGTGTGATTTCTGTGTGAAAAGATAGTCTAATGGCTTGACTGGTGTGCAGATTTTTGTTTAACATTGTATTAACTATATATATATATATACATATACATACACCAATGGTGTATCCTGGTTTTGTGCTGCCCTAGGCAGGACAAAACTCAGGCACCCCCCTCCCCCCGCGCCACCCCCACCCAACCCCCCCCTGCCCCACCTTCTAAATACACACACACAGTCAGACACACACACAGTAAGACACAAACACACACACACACAGTCAGACACACACAAACAGTCAGATACAAACACACACACACAGTCAGACACAAACACACACACACACAATCACTCACATTAACACTTTTTTTTATTTTTTATTTAACCCCAGCCTCCTTGCCTTTGGGTGCTGGGGGAGGACTCTTTCTCCCTGGTGGTCCAGTGGCTGCCGGTCGGGCTGATGGGCTGGCTGCTGGGCGGGCGGCTGGCGAGGAAGCACCTTCCTCTGAGCTGACTGCTCAGCTCCCTCGCGCGCCGCAGAGTGAGGCTGGGAGCCGGAAAATGACGTAATATTCCGGCTCCCAGCCTCACTCTGCGGCGCGTGAGAGAGCTGAGCAGTCAGCTCAGAGGAAGGTGCTCCCTCGCCAGCCGCCCGCCCAGCGCCGCCCAGCACCCACCATGTCTGTTAGCCGCCCCCTGAAAAATGCCGCACAAGGTAAATGCCTTGTTAGCCTTGCGGCTAATACGTCCCTGACATACACACTTCATAAATCTCACATGTAGATATTTTCCAATTATCTGTATTGTTGATTTTGCATAACCTGTTCTTGATTTTCTGTGTATTCTCAGCATGCAGAGCAGCATGTAATATCGTGGCAATGGTAGCTATCATGATATCTGGTAATGATGCAATAGTTTGCAATAATTGGATGAGAATATAGTTTAAAGGGACACTATAGGCAACTGTTTGCAGTGTTCCTGTCCATCTTAGTCCTGCAATGTAGAGTAGTTATAGAGTAACTGCACTGTTTACATTTCAGTATTAAGACTGCCTCTAGTGGCTGTCTGCTGTCTACTGTCTACAATACAGCAATAAGTTGTATTTCTTAAGTTTGACAAGTTTGGCAAATAAATACAAAAAAGGATAGTATGTTTGGAGTTCTATATGACAGAGAAAAGAAATGATTACATTTTAATGAAGGTAAAAATGTATGTGGGACTTTCAGTGGTTTCTAAAGTTGTCAGTCAGGCTGGATTTTGCAGTAACTTTTATCTCTTACGATAATGTGCTCTAGAATGTGTTAATGCTGTACAAATAATAAATTACAGATTTAAGGAATATAGATGGATTTCATGTCGCCACTAGATGGCAGTTTAAATTACAAATTGCGTCTGATAACCAAAGTATAAAACTTTTTATGAAATATAAATGGGAATGGAACAAAACTTGTATGTAGCATTTGCCATATACTGAAATATTATATACTTAGTTAACTGTCTAAAAAATAGTCTCCATGTACAAGATAGGTTAAAATTTTTTTTTCTATTTGCAAGTTCTAAAAGTACTGATCTCCATGATAGCCACAAGCGTATTTTAGACCAAGCTATGGTGCAATAATTCTAATGTGGACCTAATGTTTGCCCAACCTTTAGCATCATTAAATGTTTCCCTGGGCCAGGACCTAAAAACTGTGTCTCCATGCTAATTTTAATTGGACATGCAAATTATATTATTATTATTATCATCATTTATATAGCGCCAGCATATTCCAATGCACTTTAGAATAATAGACTGGGGATTTAAAACAAAAAGTATTAACATTCAAAGTCATGTCTACAGAGACAAGAGATGAGGAGGCCCCTGCTCAAACAAGATCATAATCTAATCCATCAAGTCTAAGTAGTTTAAATAGATCACTGTTCATCCTAATAAAAGATGTATAATACATTAGTATAAAGAATATAATTAAAGTGATTTATTATTATTTATTTTATTAAAATGTAAGTGTGTGTGAAGAAATGTATGTTAAAATTGACAAGTGGGACTCCAATCTAATTTCACATATAAAACAATAGATTAAGATCTACTGAATTAAGCAGTAAAGCAGAGATAGTACACTAAATACCCACAACATTAAAACCACTGACAGGTGAAGTGAAAAACAATGATTTATTGGCACCTATCAAGGGGTGGGATATATTGGGTAGCAAGTGAACAGTCAGTTCTAGAACTTTATGCGTTGTAAGCAGAAAAAATGGGCAAGCAAAAAGATCTGAGTGACTTTGACAAGGGCCAATAGTGATGGCTAGATGAATGAGTCAGTGCATCATCAAAACGGCAAGTCTTGTGGGGTGTTTCCATTAAACATTGGTAGTTCCTAGCAAAAGTGGGGCAAGGAGGGATAACCGGCATCAGGATCATGGGCAACCAAGGCTCATTGATGCATGTGGGGTGCGAAGGCAAACCCATCTGGTCCGATCACCCAGACAAGCTACTGTATGTTATTGTGGGGAAAAATTGTGATTGAAAACCCCTTCCACCTGAAGTCTGTGGATAGTTATTACAATGTTAAAGGACCACTATAGTGCCAGGAAAAAATACTTGTTTTCCTGGCACTATGGTGCCCTGAGGTTGCCCCCACCCTCAGGGTCCCCCTCCCGCCGGGCTCTAGGGGGTGGAAGAGGTTAAACTTACCTCTTTATCCAGCGTCGGGGGGGGGGGACTCTCCTCCTCCCAAGATTTTCACAGTGAGAAGCACGCAAGCGCCTCTAGCGGCTGTCAATGAGACAGCCACTAGAGGCTGGATTAACTCTAATATAAACATAGCAATTTCTCTGAAACTGCTATGT